GCCTTCACACAGCCCGCCTTCACACACCCTGCCTTCACACACTCTGCCTTCACACAGCCCGCCTTCACACAGCCCGTCTTCACACAGCCCGCCTTCACACACTCTGCCTTCACACACTCTGCCTTCACACACTCTGCCTTCACACAGCCTGCCTTCACACACTCTGCCTTCACACACTCTGCCTTCACACAGCCTGCCTTCACACAGCCGGCCTTCACACACTCTGCCTTCACACACTCTGCCTTCACACACCCCACCTTTACACACCCCGCCTGGTGTTCTTTCTAATCGTGCACTCTGGACCCCCAGGGTGTCAGGCTGTATACCGTGCTCCTGTCCCTCCCCCCCCGCCCCCCCCCCAGGCAGCAGGAGTAGATAGATCTGTGTCACCAGGAGGATCCACACATGTCTGCATAAGTCACTGCCCATCTGCTGGAACATGGGAGGGACAGACAACAGAGAACTCCCACTTTCCAGGGTCTGGCCTGGACCAAATGCCACAGTAGCTCTTCCTGAGGTATGTGCCCAGCACAGGCTGCACCCGTCCCACAGACAGCCCCCAGTGTGACCCCACCCTAGAATGCCTGGAGCCGAGCAGGGTGGGGGCCTTCCCCAGGCTTCCTGTTTCCTCTGGAACCTGCTTGGTCTCCACTAGAAAACACGTGCTTTGAGTCTGATGAGGGCAGAGAGCCCTGTTGGGCAGTGCCGATCCCAGCTGTTCACTGCTGGCCACAGGACCCTGTGGAGGATGACTGAACTGACCGTGATGGTCAGTCTGAGGGGCCACTACAGGGCACCAAAAGTGCCATCAGTGGTGATGAGAAAGGTGTTTTAGTGAAATCAGTGTCATTGAATATGCTTTAATTAAAAATAAAACCTAGGCTTGGCACGTCGTGATTAAAAGATCTGATTCTAAGATCTGCTTATTTCAATAGTTGGACTAATGGGTTATCAGTGTAACCATCGTTCCTAATCATCACATACCTCTTAGTTCATCCCCAGATGCAAAGGCTTTTATTGAAATGTGATTGATAAATGTTTGTCTTCCCCATGCTAGTTATTTTTGTTTATTTATTTTTTATTAGATCATAGCTGTGTACATTGATACTGTCATGGGGTACAGCATGCTATTTTTATATACAATTTGAAATATTCTCATCAAACTGGTTAACATAGCCTTCATGTCATTTTCTTATTGTGTTACGAACTAAACAGAAGTTGCATTGTTTTATATATATATATATACATATACATATATATATATTTTGTTTGTTTGTTTGTTTGTAGAGATAGTCTCACTTTATCACCCTCAGTAGAGTACCATAGTGTCACACACCTCACAGCAACCTCCAACTCCTGGGATTAGGCGATTCTCTTGTCTCAGCTCCCAAGTAGTTGGAACTACAGGCACCTGCCACAATGCCCGGCTATTTTTATTTGGTGTTGTTGTTGCAGTTTGGCCAGGGCCAGGTTTGAACCCACCACCCTTGGTATGTGGGGCTGGCACTCTACTCACTGAGCCTCAGGCACTGCCTGCACTGTTATATTTTTTTAAAGTTTTTTTTGGCCGGGGCTGGGTTTGAACCCGCCACCTCTGGCATATGGGGCTGGTGCCCTACCCTTTTAAGCCACAGGTGCCACTCACATTGTTATTTTTTTTAACAAATAAGATGGAAATCGACTAACATCCTCAGTGTATAGGATTCTTCCAATCAGGAAGCTCATTATTCCTGTCAACAAAATCACGTGGCAGAGACACATCCAACTTCCCTTTTCAAAACGTTCTCTTCTTGGTTCCTTTCAAAGGCACTTCCCTTCTCACCTGGCTTCT